CCAGCTCCCTTCTCCAGTGGATCACACGACTTGGCTGGTGCTGGAGGCCAATGAACATGGCATGGGACGAGGCAGGACACGGTGAGCAGCGCCAGGCCCCGTGGTCCCTTCACCCCCCAGCTGTGGTGCAGTTGGCAGGGGGATGGGCTTTCTGCGGCAGGAGCACGGTTGCTCCATTTAGGGACAGTTGGGGCTGGAATTCCTAGCCCTCCAGTGCTCCCATCGTGAGAGCTGTCGAACGGGCCGGGAGTGGTGCCTGGATACCGCAGTGATGGGCATGTTCGCATCAGGTGGATAGAAATGAGGCAGGCGTGTCCGACAGCTTAGGCCCTTGCAGGCAAGTTTCCTCCAATACCGACCTCCTGCGGGAGCTTGGCAAAGGCTCCTACCCCCACTAAGCACGTTGCTCCTTTCCCTTTCCCATAGTTTGTTCAGCTGCCCAAGAAATTTGCCAGCTGTCCTGCTCTTGCTAGAGGCAGATGCTTGGGGGGGAGGATTTGGCCATTCCTCTTCAGGCGTGAGTGTGTGTGTGCGCCTCGTGCCTCAGAGCCAGCCATTGTTTCCTTAGCATACTTGTTGGGGCCACGCGTGTGCCCTCTGTCGCCTCGTGCTGCTGTGTGATAGTGTAAGGCCCAAGGCCCCTCCTTAGCACCCGTGCTTGGTGGTCAGAGTGCATCGACATGCCACAGTGACTTTTCTCCCACTCCAGAGGTCTTAGCTCCTTGGGTGAATAGTCATTCAGCAGCACGCAGTGTAAGCTGGTGCAGTTTCCTTGCTTATTTGCTATGACCTGTGTGGGCGTTGCATTCCTACACTGCATAAGGGCCATGCCTTTAGAGACCTGGAGGGCTTAACGTCAGCTGGTCTAGTGCCCCTAGATCTGTGAACGCGCAGGCTGAAACTCTGCACAAATGCGGGTAACACATCACGTTGGGGGACGTAAAATACCGCTCTGCTGCATTGTGGCTGAATGCTGGCTGTCATGGTAGATGCCGGGTTAGGCCTGATCTCCACTTGGACGTTGGTCTAACTCCATCCCCAAAGCTGGTGGGTCACAGACAGTACAGGTCCTAGTGCTGCAAGGGCTGGCAATTGGGCCCCTCATTAGCAGTCTTAAAAGCAGGGGGCAGGAAGGGAGTTTCCACGGCTCTTGACTTTGTCCTCACGTTGTGAGAATTAAGAAGGTTCCGGTTTCCAGGGCATCCTTCCCCAGCCCTGATAAAGCAGAGTAGCATTCAGCAGTCTCAGGGTCTTCCTGAGATCACACAAGAACCTTCATTTTCTGTTCTCCGTTCCAGGACAACGTACCAAGCGGTGGGCACAGTGGGTCTTTCGCTTTACAGTCCCCTCTTCCCTCCCCCTCCTTCTCTAGCATGGGACCAAGCGCTGAATGTTGGTCAAACACAGCTGAGCTACATTACTGATGTTGCCCGGGTCAATGTTCACACGTTACCCAAGCCCCCCCAATACTTCATCATGTTTTGTAGCAACTGGCATTGCCGGAGCCATATCCCCATTGCGACATCCTCCCACCCCAGACCCTGCAGAGCAGAACAGGCCTGCCCACCCTGCCATGCACACTCCAAGGAAGGGCGGGGAGGACGGAGCAGACGATGAAGCCTATAAGAGAGGCCATACAGTGGTTTGGCCCCTCTTTGCAGTTCCGCAGGGCTTCCAAAGCTATTCCAAGAAGCTAATCGAATATTGCCCAGAATGCACTGAGCTGGCACTGAGGGAGGTTATAATGACAGTGTAAACAGCAACTCTGCTAATAGGTGGGGCTGTATCTTTATCTTGATGTTGTTGTTTTGTTTTCATGTTACGAGAGAGGTTTTTTGGCCGAGGAATTTGAAAGGAATAGATGAAGGTAAGTCCAGCCTGTGTGTGCTTGAGTTGTTACTTGCAGCCTTGAAATAAACCCTTTGATTTCTATAAGTGATATTAAAATTAGAGCTGAGCCAATTATCGACTTTTTGTCTTGGGAGCTGACTAGAAAAAAATGGATACTTGCTTTTGCTTGCCAAAATGAAAATTAAAAAAACATGATTGAGGTGGAACTAAAACGTTTAGAAATGACATTTTGAAAATGTTGATTCGAATTAATGTGGTTCATTCAGAAACTAAATCTACAAACAGTTCATTTTGCAAATGGTGAAATGACCCATTGTGACTTTTAAAAAAAATATTTTTCTTCATTTTATACTTGGCCCAAATTGGGGAAACTGCATTTTTTGTCTGATTTCTTATTAGACTAAAAATTTGACTAGATCTAGTTACAATTAGAATAATAGAACACTAGAACTAGAAGGGACCTCGAGAAATCATTGAGTCCAGTCCCCTACCCTCGTGGGAGGACACAGTACTGTCTAGACCATCCCTGATAGATGTAACATTCAGAGATGCTGGACATTAGGAAATTGATAGCAGGAGCTTCAAGATGGCAAAAGTACTTTTACCTTACGGTATTTATTGGTCATGCCGATGAGATTGTAATCCAGGAGTAAAGATCCACATTTTTTTGAAGAGATTATAAGCTTGGTTGAAAAAAGTAGGTCGTTTTGATGCAATATACTTAAATGCCTGTGTGACATTTGATCTGGAAAAACTAGAAATATTTGAAATGAACATGGCACACATTACATGGATGAAAAGCTGGTTAACTGATAGTTGTCAAAATGCAATTGTAAATATCAAGTCATCATTGAATGGGCGTGTTTCTACTGGGATCCCTCTGAGATTGATTCTTGGCCCTATTCTTTTAATGTTTTTATGAATGACTTGGAAAAACCATAAAACCATCGCTGATGATTGTTTGCAGATGATGTGAAAATTGGAGGAGTGATAAATAATGAGGAGAGGTCACTGCTTCAGGGCACTGGGTAAGTTGGATGCAAGTGAACAATATGTATTTTAATGTAGACAGACATACAACTAGGAACAAAGAAGCTAACAGAATTAACATGAACAGGAGTGTTATGAGCAAGACACGAGAAGTCATTCTTCCACTCGATTGTGTGCTGAATAGGCCTCAGTTGGTGTACTGTGTCTAGTACTGGGCACCACATTTCAAGAAAGACGTGGAAAAATTGGAGAAGGTCCAGAGAAGAGCAACAAAAATGATGAAAAGTAGTGATAGAAATGTAGCCGTGTTAGTCTGGTGTAGCTGAAACAAAATACAGGACTATGTAGCACTTTAAAGACTAACAAGATGGTTTATTAGATGATGAGTTTTCGTGGGCCAGACCCACTTCCTCAGATCAAATAGTGGAAGAAAATAGTCACAACCATATATACCAAAGGATACAATTAAAAAAAAGAACACATATGAAAAGGACAAATCACATTTCAGAACAGAAGGGGGATGCAGGGGGTTGTGACTATTTGATCTGAGGAAGTGGGTCTGGCCCACGAAAGCTCATCACCTAATAAACCATCTTGTTAGTCTTTAAAGTGCTACATAGTCCTGTATTTTGTTTCAAAAATAATGAAAGATCTAGAAAACATGAGCTATGAGGGAAGATTGGAAGAAGTGGGTTTCTTTGGTTTGGAAAAGAGACGATTGAGAGGGGACATAATAGAAGTTTTCAAGTATCTGATGATAGGACAATAAGCAACAGGCTGAAATTACAGCAAGGGAGATTGAGGTTGGACATTAGGAAAAACTTCCTAACTGTCAGGGTGGTTAAACACGAGAATAAATTGCCTAGGGGGGTTGTGGAATCTCCAACTGTGGAGATATTTAAGAGCAGGTTGGACAGACACCTGTCAGGGATGATCTAGGTCAGCGTTTCTCAAACTTTTTGGGCTCTGGAGTCCTTTACATGCGTAAAAATGTATGCGGCGCCCCAGCGGTGTGTGTTAATTGCGTCAGTTTGAGGTGATTCTCAATTATGCTTTTGAAGGCTTTCCAGTTTGTCATCCTCGTGGAGCCCTGGGGCTCCGCGGAGCACAGTTTGAGAAACACTGATCTAGGTGATGCTTGGTCCTGCCATGAGGGCAGGGGACTGGACTTGATGACCTCTCGAG